TTAAGAAAATACTGTGAGATTCCACGTCGGTTGAAGAAGGGAACAAACCATTTTTCTAGCAGGTGAATTTTTATAATCGTGAAGCTAACGGCGATACATAACGAGCTAAAACGAACAATATCTACTAGTGGTGTATCTGGATTATTACACGTAAGATATCGAACTAACTGAAGCGACATACAAACCGAATCCAACTGGTTCATACCAAACTAAACCAAGTAAAGCAATTTGGTTTGGTTTGGTAAAGAAAATGATGAACTCATTAAGTCATACCCAAGCAATCTTGATGATAATTGATTAATTTTATTTTTATAGGAATTAAAAAAATTAAATTTTAGTATTATTTGATGCTTTCAATTTATATTTATATTATATATAGAGAGGAAATAAATAGACATTATATATTAAATTTTAGTATTATTTGATGCTTGTAGGGAATATCTCTGAAGATTCCACTGTTGTTGGGCCGAAACTTTAAAGCTCAGTGGGCTTTTTATTGGTAGTTAGAGCCCATTAAATATTTTATATTGAAAATGATATTTTTCAATTTTGTAATAAAATTTTTATTTTTTAAGTTTTCTTTGGTCGATGGATCTCACAATCCACCTCTGCCAGTGTCTTTGCTGGTGCACCACATGTGTCTGGCTCTAATACCATTTATAACAACTCAAACTCACTTCTAGCCGATATTATTTTCTTTTGACATTGTGAAATCCCACATTAGTTGGAAGGGGGACCAAACATTTATTATAAGAGTGTGAAAACCTCCCCTAGCAGACGTGTTTTAAAAATTGTAAGGCTGACAGCGATACATAACGAATTAAAAGGAATAATATCTGCTAACAGTGGGCTTAAGTTGTTACAAAGGATATCATTGTCAGACACGGAGTGGTGTGTCAACTAAGATGTTGGGCCTCTAAGAGGTGGATTATGAAACTGATGACGATACATAACGAATCAAAGCGAACAACATCGATAACAGTGAGCTTGCGTTGTTACATCATATTTCTTTTCACATCGTTCTTTCTTCTATTAATAGACGAAGAACGTAGTAAGATAAGAAATTAAGGCATCAATAATTTTTGGAAATCTTTGAAAGATATTGATATTTTAATTGATATATTTGTCAATATTTTTGGTTGGGAATATAGCATCTAAATAATTGAAGTTTTCTATGTTCAATAATTGGGTTGATGGATATTGGGTATCCTTTTGTTTTTGTACTTTGTTTTATTGCTTGTTTGTTTGTGTTCTAATGACTAACACTCCCAACCCCATTTCCCATAACATACCAAAATAAAATTGTCTTATTTTATCATTCAACAACTACTGCTAAGAATCCAAGGTTCACTTTCATTCTCACCGGCACGACTCACACGCTTTTACATCGATTCGAATCTCTATTGGATCAAAACGTCTTTAAAACGCTAAACTGGAGCTAACCCAGTAATTTTAGCACTAATGGGGCATACTAATGCAAGCCGGAGCTCATAATGAGATATATCGACTTAGTAATTCTAATGAAATTTGATATCCTTATAAAAGTGGGCTTGAAAGTAGAACGCATAATAAATTTCAATCGAGGAGTTTCATATTCTATAAAAAATGAAAGAATCATATCTCACTCGAACAGGGAGTAATCAAATAAACTTCGTAATTCTCACCTCTCGAACATAACAATATAACATTTAGAACGAACGTCTTCACACGCATGTAAAGTATCAACATATACACACACGTATACACGTTTGTTTATTAGGTTACTTACAGTACGAAGATGATTCTAACAGACTGACGATTATTTTTAAAATAAAACGTGACAATTCCTTCATCGAAATCGAGTTGTATCGAACTAAACACACCAAGAAGATCGTATTCCAAGATTGATATGTAAAAATGAATTTATAAAAATAAAATTTTTAAAAATGGAATTATTATATGGAAGGCAAATCTCATAAGAAAGAAGCTACGTGTTGGGTTTCCTTCCACGTGTTGGTGTAGGTGGAGCCTAGTCAACGAAATTCAAATTGTTTAAATTAAAATTTAATTAATGGTAATAAAATTTAAGCAGAAACAAACAAAAGTTTCACGAGATCAGATGCTGTGATAATAAATTAATTAAAAATTAGTTTTTCCACCTCACCAGGGTTTTGGCTTTAGGGGAAAATAAAAAATTATGACGTGGCCACGTGACGAACTGCGTCCTTACTGTGTACCTGCCACCACCAGAGTACTGCTCCTACCGACCAATTCCCAGTACAGTACTACACTTGTTCCCTACACTTGCTTCCTCGTGTGTCATTTTTTTTTCTTTTTTCTTTTTTATTTATTTATTGTTTAAATAATATTAAAAAAAGAAATTAAAATATCAATTTACAACATGAAAAGTAATTATAAATTAATTATTAACTCATTTAAATAAAATTACGAGATTTTTTAGTTAGTCAAATATTTAATACGATTGGCTAATTGCCGTTTGATCTCGTTTTTAAAATCTAATTATTATTTAGTAATATTTTAGATGAAATAATAATTGAGTTAGAAAAAGGCGTTGTCATGAAAATCGACCTGTTTTTTAAGGTATTGAAAATCAACGCTCGCTCTGAGCACTATTTAGCTTTTTTTTTTTTTTAATTATTAATAATAATAATAATAAGGAAAGTAAAAGCATGATTTTGTTGGGAATCAATTTTAATGAATGCTAATTAATTAGATTTATAGGGAAATGAAATGATTAAATAAAGTTATTTTCGATACTTTACAATTCTCTAGATTACTTGGAAGCGCGTTTGACCCAATGCCAGTTGTCTCATTTGTTGGAGAAAAAAAGTCAAAAACCAATCTCAGCCGTCGGATTCCATTAATAAAAGCATGCACACGTGGATCATATCACTTGCATGGACGCCACGTGTCCGTGCACATAACCTCGGAAACGACGCCGTTTTTTTAACAAATAGCTTGTACAATTTATTTCGACTTCAATTGCCACTCTTTTTTTTTTTCTTTTTTATTACGTTTTAGTTTAATTAATTAAAGGCATTTTTTTATAATGTTTTTGTATTGTCGAATTTAATGTGGTCGGCTCAATAAGCTAAAATAAATTAATAAATTAAAAAATATATTAAATTAAAAGCTTAGAAGGATCTTACCACCTTCCTAAATTAATATAAATTTGTACGTATAATCTTTGTATAAATTTAAATACTAAAATATATATATATATATATATATATATATATTTTTTTTAATTTGATAGTTCGATGATTTTAAGAATATAGTTTCATATTAGTCTCGCGAATCTAGAACGAGTATTTAACTTGATAATAAAGCAATAATTTGACTAACTTAAATAATTAGACAATAATTATTATTTATTTTTCAGAGGTACATAATAATCTAACTTAATTACCATTTAATTTATAGAGAGAATTAACTATTTCCTACCTAATAAAAAAATGATGTTGGGAGTAGTTTTAATAATAATTATAAAAAATTAACTCTAAATATAACATTTTATTATTAACTTTTTCCAAATTTTTTTTTATTTTGTTAATAAATTTAAAGTTTAAGCATTAATTATCTTGTAATTTGTTGTCTCGCCCAAATCTATGTGTGAATTTAACTTAAAATTAGAGAGAATGAACAATTTCCTACAAATTAAAAAATACTTTAATATTATTGTTATTAAAAATTAATTATATATATATATTATATTAAAAAATTAATAACATGAGCGAGAAAGCACGTGTGTATGACTATGAAAGAGGACACACGTGTGTAGGTCATACCCTTTTTCAAACTTGCTTAAATTATTATTATTATTATTATTTTCGTATAGCTGGTTTTATTTTAATAGGAAATAAATTTAAAATTAATATTAATTACAAAACTCAAATTATTTTTTTATTAGACAAAAGATAATGTTTTACAAAGATTAAAACATGCCTGGATGAATATTTTGGAAATGTAATAATTTTTTAAAACATAAAGTAGCCAATTTAATGACTCGTCTAGGAGGTAATTCTAATTCCGGTAATAAAATGATTAATATTTTGTGATGATAATTATTTAATTGAAAAAAATTTTACTCATTTATTTTCAATAACTTAATTGATTAATATTTTGCGATGATAATTATTTAATTGAAAAAAAAATTACTCATTTATTTTCAATAACTTAATTATAAAAACTCTGAAATTAAATATGTTTGGCTCGAAATAATTTTACGTTAGGTATCATCTTATGAAACTATATTTGAAGTATGTGAGTAAGACAAAGTCGTCTTATGCATCTTAATCGAAGGATTTGAGTAAAAATAAAATATATTAAAACTCGTGTTGGTCTGTAAAGACAAAACAACGAGACTGACTTAATCATGTTGGATTAATAATAGAGACGTAGACGTCACATGTTTAATTTATTAATTTTTAGAATTCTTGTCTTTTCCCAAAAATAAATATTTGATTTCAATGTATGTTATAAATTTACCCAACTATTATGAGATTCCAAATAATATGAATAAATCTATATTATTTAAGGGCATATTTATATGGAAATGATTGAATTATTTACATTTATATGTCAATTTTAATTCTATAATTTAATTTCTTGCATTGGGTGCTAAAACATTATTAAACTAAATTAGTCACTTGTATATTTTATGTTAAATTTAATCACATTTAATAGTAGTAGGGCCAATGAAATGAAATTAAATTAAAATCATATTTTATATAGCTAAACAGAATTTAATTTTGATAGTATGAAAATATTAATTAAAAATATTATATAAAATAGAGATTTGTAGAGAGAGAAAGGGGAGTGGGAGCTCCATCCCCATCGTATCCTACTTCGATCCCACCGACATTTTCTCCATTATTCTTTTCCATTGCTTTTTTTAATTTTTAATTTTTGTAAAATATGTATTTTTAATTAAATAAATGTTAACAGTTTAAGACAGTTACTTGTTAAAATTAACTGAGACAGTTTAAGACAGTTTAAGAGGTTAAAATGTGAACCTGAGATGGGTTACATGTTAAAATTAAAAGATGAAATAAATAAAAATAATAACAATAATTTTTTTTCCTTCCCAAAAAAGAAAAAAAAATATTTATATTTATATAATATTCGATCCTAACGGCCGGATAGTGGGGTGACGGCCGCTAGATTTTTGCACGGGCTCGGCGGCAGGCTGCTCCGCCCTGAAGCCACCAGCCGTTGCACGAAGCTCTCAATTCTCTGCCCGTTACTCTCTGTTAGTAACCGCTTCCCGCCATATGGCAACGTTTCCACTCCTCGCTCCGTTAATACCTCCGCTTCTTCGTCCACTAAGCCGTTTGCCTGCACGTTAGTTTTAACGGTGTTATAAAAAAAAGGAACAAAAATATAATAAAATTGCAAATTTCATTCATTTTAGTTTGCATGAAAAATTGAAGAATTTAAATAAAAGGATAGGAAATGTAAAGAATAAATTGGTAATTTAAATAAAAAGGTTAACGCCGTTAGTTAGTTTGGGGTCTACTTTCTTGGATTTTCTCCGGAACTAAACAAACAAAATGTTCGAGTGTCGGAGAAAGTAGAAAATCAGAGAATTTCCGTTATACCTGAATTCTCACATAGTCCGTTCGATTCCAGCAAAAGGCATTCCCAAGCATTTGATCGACGGTGTCGGAGACGCCGTCGAGCACAATGCCGACGACGGCGGAGGTTGAGCACTCGCCGTTGTGGCGGACCTTGCCGTTGCCGCCGCTTGCCGATCCGTTGCCTAACGACAGAACAAGTAAATCCTCCACACCATTGACGGACGGAAAATCGCGTTTGTTATGGAGAACGTGCGTGACGGCGGCGGCGGTTGGATTGTTCATTACTAAGCCGCCGTCGACGGCAGTGCATAAGGTCTTTCCGTCGACGGAAGAGAGATGAAACGGTTTGAAAGAACTCGGCGTCGCCGCCGTAGCACGGCAGACTTTCGAAAGCTCGAAGTTGAAACTCGGCGATTCAGAAGCGTCGGCGCGAGAGAACACGAAAGGCGCCGAACTTCTGAGATCGAAACAGGGAACTAAAAGAGGCTTACAAGTATCCTTCAGAGACAAATCCTTACCATTCTCACCTCTAAAGAACTCCTTCAAGACTCTATCCATAGACCTACCAGAAAATCTCCGCCGTCGGCAAAATCCGCTTCCGAATTTCACTTTAAACATCTCCGAATTCCTAGCAGAAATCGCACTTACAGCATCCCTAGCAGAAAACAGAGGACGGCCAGAGCCATCATCCGCCACAAGCATCGAGGCGAGAATGCCTCCAATGCCAGTACCAGCAATTAGGTCGAAGAAATCAGCAATGCGAGCATGAGGATCGCCAGTCCTGAAGCGGATCTGGTCTTCAAGGTGAATGAGCGACGCAGCGACGACATTTGCGGTGGTTCCACCGCCGTCAATGCTGAGAATGCGAGTCTTCTTAGCAGCGTCGCAGTGATGAGAAAGCCATTGCTGCTCGAGCTTGGTGAAGATCTCCAAGGTGACCTTACTCAACTCCATAATCGGAAACGGAATTAGGGGAAGCAAAAGAGAAGAAATGAATGGGAGTGAGGGAGAATTAGAGAGAGCAAATGGAATAATTGAGAGGAATGGTGGATTGAGGTTCAGGATTTGTAGGTGGAAGCCATTAATGGCGGAAGGAAGAAGGTCTGTGAGTTTTTTGAGTAACAGATCGAGGGAAAAAAAAAAGCCCTAAAAGTAGTTGGAAGTGTAAGAGAGGCCGACGAAAGGGACGGGATATTCTTCCTTTTATTACCTATTTATATATATACATTTCAAAAAGTTTTATATATATTTTTTTAATTTTATTTTATATAATAATCGAAGGCACTAGGCACTGGCTTAAAACGTGCTGTTCGGCGTGTGTTTTGCTTGAGTTCACAGTGCGCGAATCTCGGCTTTTTAGCCGGCTCGGCTCGCGCTTCTTGGCTCCTTTTTAATATATATTTATTTATTATTTTTTACTCACTATTTATATTTTTCTTTTTAACTGAATAATGGAGATGGAATCGAAACAAGAAGAAAACAACCAAACAGCCAATTCGAGGACGGAGTGGCGTGACATAGATGGAAATTTTTAAAACATTTTAATTACGAACTTAAATTTTAAATTATAATTTTATGTAATTTTACCGCAGGGTAAAAAAATTTTAAACTGCCGATCTATTCTCTTGTTAGTTTCGATTTACTGCAAGTTACGCTACATTTAGGTTAGTTCGAGTGTGGTCCAGTTCTTAACATGCTGACCTATCTTAGTAAAAGCTTACAACATCATGATGTCGTTTGTTCACTTACTACGAGTAGTTATTTGTATGTTGAGTGTAAAATAATGGGTTTGTTCCTATGATATCATTATTCTTAACTACCTGCAACATGACGGAGCTCGCTTCTTGTTTGACTTAAATGACATCTTCTACAATTCCGTGCACATAAGCTCATATAATGGTCTAATCTCAAAGCCATAACACAGGTGCTGCACGAGTGACACCCACTTATCCAAAGTTCAAAAGTGACGTATCTTATTATTTTTAAATGTAATTTAAGAGAAAAATAAAGTTAGTTAAATAAAATTAAAATTAAAAAAAATTGATTGGAATGAAAATAATAATAAATGTACGAAATTAAAAATAAAAAATAAAGAGGGCATTAATGTCAATGATCCATTGTATTTAATTAAAAAGATGAACGATGGTTGTAAAACCCGCCCTCAATTTAAGATTTTAACAGTGAAAAGGACCAAAATACCATCCCATGTAATCAATTAATGACTCCAGAATCTTCTTATTAATTTTTAAATAGTAAATTGACAATTTCTTTTATTAAAACTCAAATATTTATATCCATATTATTATATTAAAAATTATTATTTTAATTTTATGATATTAATGAATAATTCATTTTTATTGAGTTGAAATTAAATTATAATATTCATAAACATTAAATTTTATATCTAACATATATCAAATAGACATAAAATTAATTTTTTATTTTTTATAACCAACATTTTCTATATTTTAAAAAAAATTCAAACATTTTTGGTAGTTTGTATCACAATATCTCCATAATAAATGAATTTAACCACCAAATTATTATAATAATTAATTAACTTTCCAAAAATAAAAAATGGTTAGATATTTAAGTTTATTGCTTTAAAAGAAAAACCCATATGAGAGTTTTTGTTAGGATATTCAAATCTTAGATTTAATATTTTTTTGGCATGTGAATAATTGTATTTTGAATTTATTTTTAAAATATTAAAAAAAAGTATTTTATTTTATAATTTAATTTAATTTTTTTTTTAGTACTCATATTTGTTGAGATGCTATAGGTTTTAAAACCATATAATATAATATAATACACCCAAATGAATGTGGATGTCTTTTATTATATTATTATTATTATTATAATGCACATTGAGCATTGAAAAGTATTGACTGTTTTTATTTGCCCAATATAGACAAGGGCATCAAGCTAGGACCATTCCCTAAACACACAATACCTAACCCAACTTTTATTCTATTATTACCCCCATTTTTTCACTCGAAAGGTACGCAACGAGCCAAAGCTAACGATGGACTTTGACTGTTACAAATAGTATTAGAGTCAGACACTGAGCGGTGTGTTAACTAAACATTCATTTCTTATAAGAGTGTGAAAACCTCTCTCTAATTAACGTGATTTAAAACTTTGAAACCGATGGCGATACGGGTATGTTTTTTTTTTTTTTTTTTTTAATGATGGTTAATTAATAAATTATTTTATTTCATAATATAGTTTGGATATAATAGTAAGATAAGGTATTTAGATGAATAATGAAAATAATAATAATAATAATTGTGTGGGATTATTCTTGGGGTTGGTATAAATGACAGTGAATTATTATGAAATCATTTTGTTGGGCTCATAAATATTCTCAAAGCCCAATAGGCCCACTAACCTAATTCCCTCCATTTTTTTATGGTCAAAGTCAATATTTTTAATTCTCTTTCTTCTTCCCCGCAAACTTAATTTCTCAACCACCCTTTTAATAATTTAGAAGCATCAAATTATTTATTTTTATTTTTATTTTTTCATTTCAAATGCTTGTCTAGGGTTGGAGGATCCAAAAACTCGGTTTAAATTGATTCACTCCGAGTTATTTATTCTTATATCTTACTGATTGTTACTATAACAGCCAAAGTTCACCGCTAGTAGATATTGTTTGCTTCGATTAGTTACATATCACCATTAACCTCACGATTTTTAAACGCGTCGTCTAGAGAGAGATTTTCACTCTTATAACGAACCAATGTGGGATCTCACAATTGTGAGGCGGACGACGATAGACTTAGTACTGACAACGATACGTAATAGGCAGAAGTTGACAATATCTACTAGTAGTGGACTTGAGCTGCATAGTTATTCATTGATAATGTATTTCGACAGCAAGCATTTGAAATTTATTAGACAAAATCATTAAATTTGTAAATTAATATAATCGTATAGGGTTATAATTGGATAAATTAGCCAAAAATAGAAAAATTATAAATAATATTTGTTAAAAAAATGAATATGTGAAATAATTATTGCCCTAATTGTTAGGCAGCCTTGATGGTGATTGAATTAGACCATGATGGGCCGAGCTTGGATACAATGTTGGGCCAATACAGAAGTGGGCCTGAATTTAAGCCTTTTATTTTTTAAATTATTTAAAAAAAGAAATTCATACTTCATATATATATATATATATATATATAAGTCAAAATTATGGTTATTAAAGGGACTAAACTTTCATTAAGATTGATTAGTGGACATAAACCCGATTAAGTTTTAAAATAAATAATATTTAGATTATTATAATTTAAATTTCAGTTTTTTAGTCAACAAATTGATTTTGATTGGGTAAGTCAATTTTTTAATTCTAAATTAATTAATGAATTAAGTTTAATCAATCATCCTCCTACAACCATAGATGAGAGACTTTTTTTGCTCATTTATTTTATCTTTTTAAAATATTACTAAAAATAAAATAAAATATCTACAAATTAGTGGATTAATAGCTAATTCAAATATTAATATTGTCTAATAAATAATTAAATGTTATTTTTATCTAAAAATTCAAATTAATTAACCTAAATAATCATAATAACTCCTAAGCGGATAACGTATTTATTATTTATATTTATTTAATTAAAAAAGATAAATTACAATTATTTCTCAATTTGAAAAGGTCAACCCAAAAATTATACCCAATAATTCAAAATTATGAATATTTAAGAACATAATTAAATTATATTAAAAACCCTAATGATTTTTCAATTCTTTATATCAATTTGATGTTTATAATATTAAAATTAAAACTTAGAATTGAATTAATTTATATATTTATAAAAATTCACATTTAATTTCTTAAAATAAATAAATATATATAAAATTGACAACTTTTTGACAATAATTCCTTATTTAAAATATGTATTAAAATAAAGGTAGAGTTGAAAATAGAATGATTAATAAGATATTGCATGGATTTTTTCTAAGAGGGAATATAAATAATGCAAATTTGAAAATTTTAATTATCTTTCCTAAAATATCCTCCACTTCTTTAATCATTTTTATTATTTAAAAATAAGGTTAAATTCTGATTCCATTACCAAACTAAGCCTAAAATAATAATAATAAATGATTATATTGTAATTAAGCAAATAATAATAATTATTATAATATCATAATAAAAATAAATGATTTTTTTAAATTAGATGGGAATTTCTAGGAAGCTTCCATTAATTAAATGATTAAATATTATTTATTTGATGACAAAAAAGCAGTGAGTTGCTTCATTTCTAATTAAACCTATTTTTTAATCTATCTACTCCTAAAAAGTAAAAAAGCCATTTATTTATTTAATTAATTAAATTATTTTAGGATTTAAATTATGATTTTATAAATAAAAAAATAGATTTTAATTAAGAATTTCAATTAAAACATCAAACATTTGATTAGTCAACAACAATTTTAATTTACTTATAATATGAATATATATATACATATAAAACAATCATGGGCCATTATTGTAATAAAATATTTATGTCACGAATTATATATCTATTGGTAACTGAATTCCTTCGTTAATTATTAAATAATCAATTAAATATAATATATGGTCTTTAAATATAACAATAATATAATAGAGGGAGGCTAAATATCTCCATTTGAATATATATATATATATTAAATGGAATTGTTTATGCCTACTTGCCCCCACCACTTTTTTTATGCCATTAGATAATAAATTTTATTTGAATATTAATATTTTGAGAATATAATGTAAAATAATACGAATAAAATATATAATAGAGCCCATATCCCAAGTCATTGCATACCAAAATAATAATAATAAATTGATCAATAAATAATTTATTCTTTAAATAAAATTGTCCTTGGAATTTATAAACTATTTAAAAGATTGACATGTTAAGATTTAAACCATTAATTATTATATGATTATTAAAGTATTCATGTTTTTTATTTTTTTTTATTAATTTAATATATCGTGGTTTAGGTTCTGTGAATATAGTATATACACGTATAGATACACTTCAAAAAATTAATTTGTAACACGTGCAATACACGTGAATCATTTCGTTTAAATATGGTATTGATTTAAAAGTTTGCGGCATGGAAATTTCATTCGAATAACACAAAATTTTAACTTTATAATAAATTTTATACTATGGTCCGATTAATATTGTTTTAA